GTCACTGTCTTGATCACACTAATGCTGCACATCAGCATATCCACTCACACTGAAATCAGGAAGCAGTTCCCATGCATATTCCTGGGACTGCCTGACATGTTACTGCCTAACAAGAAGTTTACTCCTTGGTAGCATTAAGGAAGACATTGCTAGAGGTGAACAGATTTTTGTGTGCTACACCTCGCTGGTTTGTGCGTGTGAATATGGCTCCTTCCCTGAAGCAAACTGGGTGGAAGTATAAAAACTTATTTTTCGTGAGACTCACTAGAAAGGTCTGAATGCATCACAGATGTCTTTCAAGAAACCCTCCAGCACACAAAGCTTATGTTATGCCAGCAAAAGTCAGGCTGAATCTAGTCTCCAGTGTGTGGAGCATAAGGTAAGCCTTTAGAAAGGAGAAAAACCTGCTGCTTTAAGGCCAAGAGCTATCTCTTAGATCTGCATTCCAGGGCTACCTGCCCTGTGTTGAACGATGTCAAACTATCCAGTTCAAGCCATGGTTTGCTCTAAGCTTTTACTGGGAGGTAAAATCATGTTTGTGACATACCTTACATACAGCCTAGTGTCTGTGCTTTTAAAGAACTGCAGGCTCTGTACTCTTGCACATCTTGCTTCATAGCCACCTTTTTGAACCTGCTGCTTCCAGCTGCCGTCATCATTTGATGGCTTTTCTACTTTTATTTTGTACCTCTGAGATTCTGAAGAATAATTATATTAGGTCAGACAAAAATCTTGCTTCACTTGATACCCTACCTGACTCACTAGCAAGAAGCAAGCATACAGTGATGCTTCCCTGTGGATATTCTTCCCCCTACAAGCTGTCTTAAAGCCTTTCCGTGTGAATGGTTCTGCCTTGCCTCCTTGTGTGGGTTGGCTTTTTTTTCCCTTTGGTTAACTTGTCTAACTTCTAATCCTCTTGTGACAGCAAGCTCCCCAGTCTGAGCACGTAGCAAACAGCACCCTTTCATTTTCTTGGGCTTAAAGGGTAGATTACATAGACACTACTTACTGTGGTGTCACAGTTAGTACGAGCCTTTCCTGTCACTTCCCCATGTGTATCTGTTGATCTTGCCTTCAAAGCTGGGAGGAAGACCTGTTCCATGATCCTGTTTATTCGTTTCTCCCACTCCTTTTAAGGTTGTTTCACTCTGCTGGTCAGGTTAAAGCCCTGATTAAAAATGATACTTGATTTTTTGATACTGTAAGGTATGTACAATTTGCAAGGCACAAGCGTTGTGCCTCATGGCAAAATGTCTTTGCTAAACTCTATTACAGTTGCATGTTCTTGTTGCCAAATGACCTGGCAGGCTGTACCTTTTGATAATGCACTTCCCTCTGTTTGGAAATGCTGCTGATTTCTCTGGCAATGCCAGGTGAGTGGAACTCTGAGCCAGTTGGGTGAATACTGAGAGCCCCTCGTGGGATGCAGAGACTCTCTGGGTGGCTGAGTGTTTTGTTTTGCCAAAGCCAGGAGTAAGGACAGGGCTGGTTCTTGCATTGCAAAATGGTGGCATTTGGCTTCCTGTGCCAGCAGGGATGAGTTTTTCTCTTTGGCTCACTGTCAGCTGGTATTGCCCTACCCCTTCCTACACCCTGTCACCTGCTGGTGCTTCCCCAGGGAGCCAGGAGCTGGTTACCTGCAGAGGCTCTCATCCAGACAAGCACGTTAGCACATGCTGGAATCCTGTTGATGTCAGTGAGACCTGAGCATGTTAAAGTTAATCACAGCTCAGAGGGTTTGTGAAGTGTGGCTGAGGTGCAGGCTTTTTCTGCCAGATGTGCTCATGGGAGGTTTGGAAGTCTCCCTGGTGTTGTCACATTTACAAGCTCCTGTCATGCTGGACATGTGTAATGCATCCTCCTGTGTTTTGGGGGAAGGGATGTGAAATAGCCAGCCACTGCCTAAATGTGCCACATCTGTGCTAGAACTGGGCAGCAGTGCTGAAAGCAGAACTGTCAGGGGCATCAATAATTTCTGTACCTTCACAACTTTCCTTACTCACCTTTTGATGGGCAAAATATGTGTGACCTTTGTTGCTGTTGAATTCTCACTTATTTTGTGAAAGGTTGTCACTTTATTTTAACGCTTCTTGTGCTTGGAATTGGTTAATAGGCTTTTTGTCTCATGGACTTGCATCATACCTTCAACTTAATAGACATAGTATACTGTGTGCAAAGAGGATATGGAGCTGAAACCCAGATTGAATATTTGTTACATTTTTCACCTACTGCTTTTTTTTTAATGGTAGTGTGTTTGAGATCAGAGGCTAGCTGATCTGTGGTTTATACTAAAATATATTTATGTTTAAGGTTTATACTAAAATATTGTTGCTTTTTTATCAAGTAAAATACCAAGAGAATATAAGGTTTAATATTTTTTTTTTACAATTTTCTTTTAGTGTGTTGTGATATATGTGCAAGCTTTTCTTTCTGAGAGTGTATGAAAACACCCTCCCAACGGTGTTTGGCTTTGCTGCAGAGCAAAATCCCAAATGGCCTGCATTCAGATAGTAATATTTGGGGGGTTTTAGCTAGTGGCTTGCTAGTGAATAGTTAAACTGATGGTAAAGTTTCAGGCCCCTCTAAGTTCATGCTTTCCATCATTTGTGGAAAGCAGACATCAGAAGCTGCAGTGCCTGGAAGTGAATTCAATTCCTTTAGAGACCTGGGAGCTCCTGGCTTAATCTACTCCAGCAATTCCACTCTGTGCTATTAAAGCCTGGCATTAGGTTTCCCTTAAGTACTTGGGTGTTTCTCTTCTTTCCCCACAAAATCACACAGTGCTGGCTCCCAAGCTAGTACTAACTTCTGTGGAAACATATTAACTTTCATGCTTCTCATGTGTGAAATTGAAGAGAAATTAGCAAAGACATAGCTGGAAGAGGGAAAACTCGCTGCAAGTGGGAAAGCAAGCATTGTGTTCTGCATAGCTGCTCATTCACAGATCTTTCAGGAAGTTATGTTTTTGGTTTTTTTTTAATATTGACCACATTGTGGATTGTCATTCATTTTGGAATATGTTTTAATGTTATAATTAAATGCTGAGAAATGCTTGAAGTAAATGGAGCACTTGGACAGCTTTATTTCTGTAAATAGGGCACTGGTACAGAAGCAGTCCAAAATCTCAGGTTGCTTCACCATCCTGCCCATATCTTGGCTGCATGCAATATTTGTGCCGTGTGAAGTGTCTGAGATCACCTTCACTGTTGGATCTGCCTTAGAGAGTGCCAAAAGCCAAGTGGATGAGTTCAGCTGTTTCCTGGGAATGCAAGTGTCTTGTGCCAGTCCTGTTTCAGGGAGGTAGCTCTCAGCATGAGTGGAAGATAAATGTTAGCAGCATGGCTATGATGCTATGACTGTGGGTGGAGATGATCCCTTCTGGTCACTATTAATTGCTGTTATCTTAAAAGTCAATCAAACCTACTGTTTTGTAGTCCATGGACTAAGATAAGCTTCTCCTTGTTCATGCATTATCCACAGTGGTTGCTTAAAAATAATGAAAGCTCACCTTCTTTTGAGGCTTTGATAGAGCTACATCTGTCCACAGATTGCCTTCCTCAAATAGAAGTCCCTGAGTTTGATGCCGCCACAGTGTGTGGGAGAGGAGAACAACATGGATTCAGCAGCCATGGCTTCAGTCTAAGTGACAGGAGACCTATGCTTTGATTTATTTGCTGTTTTGCAGATTGCCTGGGACAGATTTCCTGGTGCTGGTTTCAAAGTATGGACTTCAGACAGCCCCAGGTAGTTCAGTTTAGGAGCAGGTAGAGAACTGGTGCTGGGCACCTGAGCCTCCCACACAACCAGGAAAGATGGGTGCTTTCCTGTTCCTGGGCTTAGTTAGGGCTTGCCTGGGACTAGCTGGAAGATCCCAAAGATAAGGATTTGGGAATGCTTCTTTCTTCTTAAAATTTGAGGTGTTGGATTTAAGTCTGCCCATGGGGGCAGCTCTCTACTCAGGATTTACCCTCCCTTTAAAGTAAGCCCTGAGAAGAGGGGAGTGAGAGATGAGGAAAAGCATCCGCCATCTTTTGTGTTGTAACAAGAACATGAGGAGCAAAGAGTGTGTTATTTGTGGCCAGGAAGAGGGCAGTCAAGAGGAAGCTTCATTTTGTTGCCTGGCAATTAGCACAGACACTTGAAAAAAGAAAACCTGCCTTCCCATCCTGTTCTTTTTTATCCAATTACTGCAGAATGTAAAATTAATAAATTCTCTTGGGAGGAGAGACCAGATTTGGGTCTTTCTTCTTTGAACTAGCTGTCCTACCTGCTGGGGAAGAGTGAAAGTTGTGAATCTGCTTTCTCTCAGGGTAGAGTTGAATTTAGCATCACCCTTGCTTTGTGTGGCTGCTTTACAGTGTGGGTTTGTTGCAAAGGGTGGGTGCTGCAGCTCTTTCCACTTGTTCTTCCTCCCATTTTGTGTGGTGATCCCAGAGCTGCCTGGATGAACCCACATGTGCTGAGAGCAGAGCTGCCTGGTCAGGGACTCCCTGAAGCCTCCTGTGTCTGTGCCCTGGATTTGACTGCAGTGCAGTTCAGCTGGGGAGGGCAGGGCACAGCTGCCGTGGGTGCCTCAGCATGGCATGTGCCACTCAGCATGAGGTGCACACTGGAAGCTGCAACGGGGCCATTTGTTCCAATGGTTAAGGAGAAACCTTTTGTGTAAGTCTAAGCTGGTGTGTTTGGGTTCTTTGGCAGTGCCTGGAGAGATGGGATTGCCTGGCTGTCTTGGGTGACAGATCAGTTTTTCAACGTAGCCACAACTCTTGACACAGTTACATTAGGAAGGAAGGACTTCTTGCCACTGGCTGGAACAAAGATGTCACTGGAGACAGAGGATGTGAAGTCTCAGAGTCACTTGCCCCTCAACAAAGCCTCCTGCAGATCTGTTAATGAACATCCCCAAGCATTTCCTGGCAGTCATTCCTAGCACACACCAGTGGTGTTGGCTGTCGAGTGTGACCTCATTAACATAAGGGTTTGCTCTACTTTCATTTCAGGTTGTCAGAGCTGCTGAAGAAGCTGCTTCCACCCTGGCGAGTTCCATCCACCCTGAGCAGTGCATCAAGGTGCTTTGCCCAATCATTCAGACTGCAGATTATCCAATTAATTTAGCTGCCATCAAAATGCAAACGAAAGTCATCGAGAGGATTTCCAAGGAATCGTTGCATCAGCTCCTACCTGATATCATTCCTGGGTTGTTACAGGTACAGAATCCCATGTCACTGCTCCTGAGCACAAGCCACCATTAATTTGTGACATCTCTGCTCTAAGGGAGGGAGAATGATGGATCCTATAGGACCAGATTTTGGTAAATTAAGCCATTTAATTTTTGGTAAAATAAAATTTTTATGTATGAATTTTTGATCCTTTTAATAAAAGAAGAACTCAGGTTCTTACATGGATATTCCACAATTGGATGCGTTTTTCTGACTCTCAAGCAAGCTAGTAGCAGCCATTAAATAAATTTGAGGACAGGAGTTAGCCACATTTTATACTGTCTCTGTACATCTTGTAGTCCCCTTTAATTCTGCTGAGCTGTTGTGTGCTTTGATGGTACTTTGCACTTGAATTCGAATCCCAGCAGGCAGGTTGCTCCTTTCCTCTTTTCTCTCTGAAATTAGGACCAAGCTACTTGCTGACTTTATTAGCCTCTTTCATAACTCTCTCGGGCTGGGGAGCTGTGTTTCTGCCAGGGCTGAGGCTTAGTTGTGCACTGTGGATTTAGCTTTGAGCACTGGCTGTAGCAGTGCTGTCTTTTGGTCCCCTGCACAAGCAGCTGGCAGTGCTGGGATGGGGCTGCAAACAAGAAGAAAATATGTGAAGCAGCAGTGAGGAAGGAGAGAAATTGTGTGTGTTTACTGGGGAGGGACTGTGTCAGGAACAGATCAGTCAGAGTGAAAGGGGGAGATGTGTTTAGGTGGGTAAGACTTCCATGGAGAACTAGGATAAAGAGGCCTCCTCATTGTGAGCTTAAAATGTTGGAAGGACAAGAGCAAAGTCAGAAATTCCCCTTATGCATCCTGGCATTCTTCCCAACTTTGTAGTGTCAGCTCTTGCAATTCTTAAATCTCAGCTTCTGGGAATTGGACAATTCTGTATTCATCTAAACTTTTGTTGTAAAATGGTTTTAGCCATCATTGTTGGAGACAACAATCTGAACAGCAAAACTTTGATGCACTGGAAAAGTCTGAGAGCAGCAAGCCTTTAAAAAGACAGTTTTATTTGTCTTCTTTATTTACTTTAAATGGTTTTTGTTTCAGAGTGTAGTTTGCCCAAGATATTTCCTTACCTTAGAAACTCAGTGATGGAAGGAATTTACTCCTTACATTTGGGAAGTGTTTTGGGATCCTGGCTGAAGGGCTGTGTTTGGAGAGAATCACCTTTGTGCTTGTTTACCATGCTGAGGGTCCCGGCAGAGCGGTGAGGGACAAAGAGTGTCAGCAGCAGTGTGGGCACAAGTGTGCAGCTCAACAGCCTGGAGCAGGCTCTCCATGGGCAGATGGGGACTCCATGGAAGAACAGGGAGCAGGGGAGAGCTGTGGTGCTTGTCCTGGTCCTGATGGGGAGGCTCAGCCTTTTCTCCACCTTGATGCTCAATAGCTTGGTGTTTCTGTCAGCTCACCGAGGTCTCCTGCTTTCCTAGCTCAGTGCTTTGTGGGATTGCAGACTGTTGTTTTGGGCTGTACTTGGGCCTTGCAGCTGGGACAGCCCCAGCTGTGCTGCATCCCTCCTCTGGCTTTCCCGGCAGAGGTCACCCTGCATCCGGAGGAGCCGGCGTCCCGCAGGGTGAAGTGGTGTCTGCCTCTCTCAAGGGGTGGGATGGCTGCTGAGTGATGCCTGAGCTCGGGACTGGTGTCCATAGCTGCTGAGTGACCTGGTGGCTCGTTTGAGCTCTGCCCAAGCTGCCAGAGATCAGCACATGTACAGGGCTCTTTCAGCGTGTTCTTTCCTGTGGTGTTTCCTACTTGATAGGTAAGCAGCCCTCCAGAGTCCTGGCTGTTCAGGATAGTTCATGGTCATCTGGACTGGACACAGAAGTGTGTGTATCTGATAGAGTCCTGAGCTTGTGTTAGGAAACCATGTGTTGTTATCTAATGCTATAAATAACTATATATTAATAACTTACAACATGACAGTAATAAGTCATAACAGAAGGAACAGATAGGGTGATGGCATTCTCTTGCTCTTTGAGTGTTCAGGTTGCAAATTGCTATCTTAAGCAGAGGTTTTTTAATTGATCTCTTAGGCCAGCCACATCTGCAAAATGCACTTCAGCTCTGTAGTGTATTGCTCAGGAAGGGTGTTGGGGAGTGCTGTTTGTCTTCTGACCTTTTCCTCTCATTTCCAGGGTTATGATAACACGGAGAGCAGTGTCAGAAAAGCCAGTGTATTTTGCTTAGTGGCTATTTATTCAGTAATTGGAGAAGAACTGAAACCTCATCTCGCACAACTCACAGGAAGCAAGGTACAAGAGTAATGTGTCTCTGGTGTTTTGGTACTGCAAGCCATTCTGCTGGCTGTTACTAGCAGGAGCACCAGTGGCTTCACTGCAGCTCTGGGTCGGGTTCCCTGAATGCTATTAAATCCTGTCTCACCCTGACAAATGCCACAGGAGCAGCACTGCACCTGCTCGGCAGTGTGAGCATTTGAAATCCCACTTAGCAAATTTTAATGGTGTTTGGAGATGGGTTTTATGATACATTTGATCTTGTGTAACTGCAGGCTGCCTCTGAGCAGGTCCTTCTCCAGCCACTTTTGCCTTCCTCTTTTGGCATTACATCCAGAGGTGATGGTGCTGTGAGCTGGCTCAGCTGGCTGCTCTGGCTGAAAACCAGATCTGCAATACAAATTAAATAGCTTTTAGTCTGCTCTGTGGCCACACAGGCATCCTCATGCATAGAGTGATGGGAATGCATGGGGATGGTGGGAGAGCAGGTCCTCTCAGCAGCAAGTTGTGATTAGGGCTGGTAGAAATGCAGGTAAAGCTTCACTTTTAGCAGCAGGGCACATGTGTCCCTTTCCTTCTGGGACAACAAAAAGCTCAAATGACCCTTCTAAGGACTTTGTACGTTGGAGTCAGACTAGCTGCAAAACCCAAATTCTGACCTGATGCTGCAAGTGAAACCAAGCCCTTAAATCAACTCTGTCCTTCAGACAAGAATTTTGTGTTGGTGTTTGATTGCTTTTCAGAGCTCTCAACAAGCCACCACAAATTTTTTTTTCTGCTATTTTAAGTCTTCATACCCAAGATTTCTATGCAATTTTAAGATGAATTCACCAGGTTTTGTTTCTGAAACAAATCTGTGCACATAAATAGCTGCTTAGTTCAGAGGGCTTCATTCTGTCATTTTGAAGTCATAATTTCTTTCATGAGTAAGGAAGTGTAGTATAGGCCAAAACAATCTGAGACTAAAAACACTTGGATTTTATTTCTGTCTTGTCGCTAAACAAATTATAATTATGCCTTCAAATTGCTCTTGGAAGAGACAGCTATGTGTGCTGAGGTTTACCTCTTTATATTTGGGATGTTAGGAAATCTCCCTATAAAATGTTGTGGAGGCTTTATTATTCCAGTATCCTAGGTGCCACAAACATAGTCCACCACATCACTAACTATAAACATGTAAGCAATTCTTCTGGGTTTATGCAGACTGCCTGCCTGTTTAAAGTTAAATGTAAACATGAGTCACTACAGGATCTGGAGTTTAGGTGGCAAGGAAGAAAAAGAAAACAAATCCATGCAAGGGAAGTATATAGTCATAACAACTGCAATTGCACTAGATGTACCACATTAGTGAAGATAGAATGTCATTGAAAAAGAACATTTTATAAAACAGGGAAAGTTCAGGGTGTTTCCTAGGAGAGAGACCCTTAGCTCTGAGGATCAGCAGTGTGCCTGCAGCCCTACTGACCTCTGTGGGAATCCTGCTTGACCTGGCCTGGCTGCAGGATTGAGGTCTATGAACTGATGGCTGCTGAAGTGAAATCCAAGAAGCTTTTCTAAATCCCATTAAGTCTGTCTGTAACTTCAGTGGGACTGTGCCCAGCCTCTTGTCTCTGCTCTGGAATATGGTCAGTTTTCTTGCTTTTCCTCCAGAGTGCCCAGTGTCAGCTCACCCCAAAATGAGCTCACCACAGAATGCAAGTTTTTACAAGTCAGCTTTTCCCCCTCTGTTTTTTTCTGGCATCTTCTCCTGATGTTTTTTTTTTTCTTTCTTTCAGATGAAGCTACTAAACTTGTATATAAAGAGGGCACAGACCACCAACAGCAACAGCAGCTCCTCTTCAGATGTTTCAACGCACAGTTAATGGAGATCTGTGGACATATGTGTAGACTTAGAAGCAATCAACGGTGCCTCTCAGAGACCTTTCTGCTACTCTTCACTGGCGTGCTCCATCAGCTTAAGGAGGCCATGCAGATATTTATTGCAATCAGTATTTTAGTCCCTTAAAAGCTTTTATGTAGAATCTTACTGGTATTGAATGTAAAGGAAGCAAGGTCTGTGTCGCAGTCTTCATTAAAGTGAACATCAGAAAGCCATACTTAAACATATTTGTATAGCCTGCTGAAATCTCAGAAATATGTTTAGGTTAGCATTCTAACACTGAGTCCAAGAACCTGGACACAAGTAAAAGTCAAACAAATCTTGTTGGTTTAGTTCATACCCAGTTTTGGTTTCTGTGTGCTAGTTACCTGCTCTCTCCCCTCACCCATTCTGGCTGGGTCCTTCTCTTCTTTCAAGTCTTGTGTTCCTGTTCCGTACTCCCTGTTGCAGCTTGCCTGAATTGCAGGGCCCTCCATGGGGAGATCTTTGCAGGTGTAGCTGTGATTCCAGCCTCAGATACTTTAATACTGAGAGATACCAAGTGAGTAATGAAAGTAGGTTGTTTTTAAACATCTGAGTTTTGTACATAGTTCTGACAGACCCCGGATGGGCTGATCTCTCTGTAACTGCTATCCAGCCAGCTCTGCTGTGCATAACAGCTGGGCTCTTGCTTTTTTCATTGACTTTGTAAATACTTCTCCCCTCTCAACCCATTTGGCTCTTTCGTATGTTCAAAAGACTCTCCAGGTTACCTGTTACTTCCCAAAGGGAACCTGAGACCCAGTTCTGGGACCGACGTCTGCGACAGGATAGTGGAGTTAGGTGGGGGGGATTGGGTTAGGCTCTGAGTGTGTCACTGGGTGGGCAGTGGGAGCTGGGAGAGCTGTACTTCAGTGCCAGCTGTTTTCCTTGAAATCTGTAGCATCAAAGGGCTGATCTGCTGCTCTGACTGACCCACTGATGCTGGATGGCTTTGTCCCCACAGCTCCTTTGCACTTTGGGCAAAATGTTCATCCCAGAGGACAGAAAGGGTGTCTGAATCTGAACAGAAATGCCACATGGAAGCACCTCTGAGCCAGCTGGGACAGTGCTGGTTGCCTGCCACAGCCCCTTCTGTTCCTGAAGACCCTGCAGTACTGTTAACTGCCCTTAGAAGCCTCCTTTGTGCCATCTCCATGCGCAGGCTTGATGAGTGCTCTGCTTTTACAAGAGTGGGGGTCCCTCATTGGGCACTGCTGGCAGCAGGGTGCTCTGGGTGAGGTGTTTGCAGCCTAATGACACAGACCAAGTCAGAGGCAAACCAGCAGCCACCAAATACCCCAGCACCGTCCTTCCCTGAACACAGACCCTTCTTTTTGCAGAGGGGGAGCTCCCCCTGCCTCTGCTGTAACCAGGGAAGGCAGGAGGTTGCTAATTAGCGTGCTGTGTTTGGCCCTGGGCTGGATCCTGGCTGATGGGCATGCCCACCCCAAACCTGCCATGGATCACAGCTGGGGTTTTGCCTCCAGTGCCAGTGATGCAAGAGGATGATGGACTTGCAGCTTAAGGCTGAGCCGTGGTGATGGATGTGTGTTCCCTGGCTGCTCTCAGTGCCCTGGAGTCTCTCCAGCTTCCTCCATCTCCCCTTTAGGGAGCTGAAGGGACACCTTGGGAACATACTGAGAACACGAGACTCCATTGCTGCAGCAGGGCAGGGTACAGCCCCTTCCCTCAATTATCCCTCTGTGTTTCAACCCCATCCCTGAGGAGTTAAGCTGGGAGCTGACATTTGGTGCCAGCTTTTCTCCCAGGAGGGATTGGGGCTGGTGGGGCTGTGTCACTGGGCTGCAAAGCTTCTTGGTCCCTTTCCCTGCTCACCTGAGAGCAGGGGAGGTGGCCTGCTCCTGGTACACGTGTGCAGGTTTCTGCTGGCTGCAGGGCTAATTCCCTCATCTTTCCCAACCAGCAATGCTATGGCAGGAGAAACCATGTGCTTTCCTGAGGTGGGGGATTCCCCCAGGGTCTTTCTGCAGGCTCAGAAAAGCCATTCTCTCTGAAGGGGGGGATTGGTTGCTCCGTGGTTCGTGTCTGCCTTTCCGTGGACCATTTCTTTTCCACATCTTTCTGTATGCTTGTTAGAGTGCTCTTTTTTAATTTTTTTGAATGCTTCAAATTTGATTTTAACACAAATTTATTTTTCCTTTTGAGGAAATACTCAGTTGACTTGTTGGCAGCAGTTAAGCTGTCTTGTTTGAATTTTTAGTAGTGGGCTAGGTTTTTTGGGGGGAGGTGTTGGTTTTTTGTTTTGTTTTTTGTTTTTTTGTTTTAATTGTGCTCTTAACTGCTTAGTATTTATGCCTCTCTTTCTCCCCATCTCAGCTCAGCATCTTCTGTTCCAGTTCTGGGAATGTCAGCATAGCTGACCAGGTGGTTAGTCCCTCCCAGCTGTGATGGAGCTTGGTCTATCATCATTTGCTCTTTTTTTGGTTTTGATTTTTTTCCTTTCCATTGAATGGCACACTGTAGCAAATCTCCAGGAATCGAATTCCTTCTCAAATGATTTTATATGCTTTATAAACGCTGTTGGTATGCACTGAGAGTGAACGCGCTGTGCCGTCCCTGACGCCGCAGTCGGGTCCAGGCTGGCCTTGAGAAGGCGCCCGCGGCCAGCCTGCGCTCCCCGAGGCACCAGAGGGGCTGCAGGGGGAACCAGGCCTTACTTCCTGAGCCAGATTCACTTCTGTTTGTCAGCAGATGCTCATTAATGTGCTACTTGATTTCACGGCGTGAGTCGAGGACTGTCCATCCTTTGAGTGCTCCAGGGCGTGTTCTCCCTGTGCACAGCAGGAGCATTCTGCGTAGGTATTTATAAATCATCGCCGACAATGTACATAGTAGGGTTCTTTAGTTGAACATGACCCAGTTTTTATTTTGTGTTTCCTTTGAAGTACTCAAAGGGCTAGCTCTGAATGTCACCTCTCTGATCTCCAGTTTTGACTTCAACAAGCTGTACAATCATCTTGTTTTCTCTTCAGCAAGCATAAAGGTCTCTCTGGCTACAAATCAGTGTCCACACACGCTTGCAGAGGAAGGTCTGCATGCTGCAGTGCCTCACTGCTCCGGTGAAGCTTGTGTTCACCTTCTCCTGGCAGTAGCCACCTACTGCAGCTGCCTTTTTTTTTTCTTGCTGCCCATTATGCAGGGCTTCAATTTTTCGTACCTTTAAAAAAAAAAGAAAAAAAAAAAGAAAAAAATAAAAATAAAAAAAAGTGTATTTTCTTTGCCCACCATGCTTTAAAAATCTGAATGGGAGAAAACTCTCAGCAGACAGCAGCTCTTGGCTGCAAGGTTGCTGAAATCTCAGATGTGGATGTTTTTTCTGCCATTGGCTGCACCAGTGCTCCGTGGGCATGGGCAAATCCCGGCTCCATCTGCCCCACAGGTCTACGTACTGTAGTTCTCATGTAGTTCAGAAATACCGAGGCATGTGGCTTTCTTAAGGTACACTATGTGTGCTTGCCTGGATTACAATACAAGACTGTCTTTTTAATTGCTTATTACTAGCTTACCAATAACCTGTATAAGTAATGTAACTTGCATCTTTGTCATCAGAACCTTTTCTCCCCACCCCTTTATTTATCAAGCATAATATTACATATTAAGGGACAGAAAAATAGACCTTTGTAGTACACAGCAGGACGTTGCTAACAATGTTTTAAATGGGAAGTAAAAAACGCTCTGAAAAATGCCAGCCATGAGAAATGACTTTGTTGGCACCGTGTTCATGCGCATGTATTTTTTTCTATTTTTTCCGCTTTTGTCATGTTACATCCATATCTGTATTTATATCTTATTTGTTTCACTTTTGAGTGTATCATGGCAATTGTACAGATGTTTTTTGTTAACATTTACGTGATAGAATTTGCTAAAAAAAAAAAATTAAAATAAAACCTTTTGAGTTTGCCCTAGAATAAGTGGAAGTTGGGTTTCTTCTTGGGGGAGAAACATCAAAGTAATTCACTGTCCAACAGAGCTCCTTATTCCAACCTGTGCTTGTAAATGTTTTGGTCTTATTTGACACAATTGTTTTTGAAAGCTGATGGCTGTGCAAAGTCATGTAACTCAAGGAGGAAGGGCTTCGAAGATAACCTGTATTCTGAAGCTTGTTGAGAGAATTACAGAGGTTTTAAAATAAGTGGCTGTAGATATTTGCGTGATGAAGCATTTGGGGAAGTGAAGGAATGCTGGGAACTGCACAGGTCTCTGCACCTGCTACCAAATGACAAAGAACTTGAATTTGAATTGTCTGGGCAGCCTGAGCACTCAAGCACTTGTTTTCCTGTGGGAATAGTAGCTCATCACAATGTAAAAACCAGTAGTGAAGCTGTTCTCTCCACTCCACGGGAAATGAGTTCCCTTAAGGTATGATTTTTACCTTGATGTTCAAGGCAAAAGCTCCTCAAATACCTTATGCTGATAGCAAGGAAGCCATGAGTGCACAAGAGGTTCAGATTTTGTAGGGGAGAATTTTGGTTTGAATGTTCCTAGACAGAAGAATATACGGAGAATGTCACAGAGCATGAACAGCAGCACTGGCACTCCTCACTGTCACCAAGCCCTGCCCCATGTCAGCCCAGGGACCCTTCTGCACTGAGATTCAGGGGCTGGGCTGGGAGCAAGGGACAGTGGTGGCTCCTCCTGCTGCAGATCTTGCCCCTGTGGTGACAGGGTCTTTTTTGACTCTGCTGTATGTCATAACAGTAGGAGGGAAGGTCCATCCTTGCCCAGTGACCCTGGCCTCTTCCCAGAGCATTTCTGTGTGGTTATGCAGAGAGAAAATCAGAGGGGCTCAATCCCAGCTAGAACTTAATCTGGCTCCTGCTGTAAAAGAAAATAAGCAATTAACGGCCAGAGGGGGAATCCCCATCCTTTATTGGATGCACGGGAAACACGGTGACAAAGGATGAGGGACAGGCTGAGGTACTCAGATCCTCCTGAGTGCCATCACAAGGCATGTCCAGGACAGTCAGGGAGCCAGACCCAGCCAGCACTGGTTTGTGAAAGGCAGGTCCTGTTTGACTGACCTGATCTCCTTCTGTGACAGGGTGACCCACTGAGTGGATGAGGGGAGTGCTTTGGATGTTTTCTACCTGGACTTCAGTGAAGCCTTTGACACCATTTCCCACAGCACCTCCTGGAGCCACTGGCTGCTCATGGTTTGCACAGGTGCAGTGTCTGCTGGGTTAGAACTGCCTGGATGGCCAGGCCCAGGGAGGTGGTGGAGTCCAATCCAACTGGCAGCTGGTCACAGCGGTGTTCCTCAGAACTCGGTGTTGGAGGGCACTTCTGTTTCATGTCTCTACCAATGGTCTGGATGAAGGGATCAAATGCACCCTCAGTCAGTTCACAGACAATGCCAAGTTGGGCAGGAGCGTTGCTGCTGGATGCAGGAAGGCTCTGCACATGGATCTGGACAGGCTGGATTGATGGTCTGAGGACAGTTGTATGAGGTTCAATAAGGTGAAGTGTCAAATCCAGCCCTTGGATCACAAAACCTCAGGCTGGGGCAGAGTGGCTGGAAAGGTGTCCAGCAGAGAAGAACCCAGGGGTGCTGGTCCACAGTGACTGAACGTGAGCCAGCTGAGCCCAGGTGGCCAAGGAGGCCAGTGGCACCTGGCCTGGATCAGCAGTGGTGTGGCCAGCAGGACCTGGGCAGTGACTGTCCCTCTGTGCTGGGCACTGTGGAGGCTGCACCTCAAATGCTGTGTTTGGGCCCCTCCCTACAGGAAGGACAGGGGGAGCTGGGGCATGTGAAACGGAGCTGTGGAAGGGTGTGGAGCATAAGTACTACAAGGAGTGGCTGAGGAAGCTGGGGGTGCTTACTTTGGAGAAAAGGGCTCAGAGGATGCCTTATAGGTCTCTACAACCAGCTGAAAGAGGCTGTAGAGAGGCATTCTCTCCTCCCAAGTAACAAATGATAGGAAAAGGGCCTCAGGTTTCACCAACAGAGGTTTAGATGACATATTAGGAAAAAAAATCATGGAAAGGATTGTCAGGCATTGAACAGGCTGTCCAGGGAAGTGGCTGAATCACCATCTGTGGAGGTATTTAAAGGATGTGGATGTGTCACTTATGATGTGGTTTTATGGTGGACTTGTCAGTGCTGGGTTAACAACTGGGCTTGGTGACATTAGAGGTCTTTCCTAACCTAAATGATTCTATGGATTTTCATGTCTTCTTTGGGATGAGACAGAAGAGAGTTTGTTTATTGAACCACCTGAAAGTATCTGTCCCTTGTATCCCCTTTGTGGTGAAGTCCTTTCTCCTCAGCCACATGGCTGCTTCACATATGGAGGACGAGGAATGGCTGTAATCCTTGGTTTAGAGGGTTTTGCTGAGCTCATCCCTATGGAGGAGGACCGGAGTCGCTGCCAGCCATTAAAGGTAGGTAGCAGATTCCTGGCAAGTGTGAAGGCTTGCTGGAAGCACTTACAGCCCATTCTCAGTTCATTTCTCTGTCCCGAAGAGTCTGAGTTGCTGCTTCTTTTTCCCTCTGCATTCCCCCTCAAATGATTTTGTGACCCCTTCCCTCCCACTAAGGGATGTGCCAAGGAGTGACTCAGGACATGTCAGCAGAGTTGCACTCCTGGACCAGGCAGGTGTCTTATCTCAATTTTCTCCACTTTAAGATATTTTGGTTTAAACTCCCTGAGAAAATGCAGCTCAGTTGATCAGTGGTAACTTAAATAATTCCACTGCTTCTGATTGTGCAACCCAACCTCTCACTTCTGCAATCCTCGTTTACCCTCTCTGAGCAAATATTGCACACCACTCTCTTCACCAACCCAACATATTTTTCCTGCTTTGCATTGTCATACACTTCCATGAAGTATGGAAAGGGCTGTCTCCAGCCCTGGCAAGGAGCCTGATGGGAAGAGGCTCAAGGCAGAAATGGATGTAACACTGAGCTTAGGGAGGAGAGGGCAGACCATAAACCAGGGCTCCCAGATGGTTGTGTGCTTGTATAGGTCCAGAGAAAGGCCATCCCTGATTGTAATCCCCAGTCATGGATCCATTTGTGGACAACACGGTGTTACAGCCAGTATGTGCATGTAAAATGGGCTGCAGAAGGCTGGTTCAGTAGCAGGGGCAGCACTTGAGAGCCCGCCTGAGCACGGCTGTCCTCTGCCGAGGATGGGAGGGCAGTGACACCCACTGCAGCCATGGTGCCCCTGGAGCACTGCAGCACAGGAGATGCTCACCTTCCAGATTCTCCCTGAGGGTCTGACTGCAGCCAGTCTTGGGAAATACTGGCCTGCTAATCCCAAGGCCCTTACACAACATTACTCTGTTCTCCATGCTGCTTTGTCATAACTTGGCATGTACTGAAACAGGCCCAGCAAAGCCACGGCTTTCCAAAACCCGGCTATTTACACCCAGGCTTGGGTGCCACCCATCAAGCAGGAGCTGGGGACTCCTCTCTGCATGCTCGGGGACAGAGGGGATGGGTGCTTGTCCCGTGGGGCAGGCAGGGAGCACAGGATGGTGCTCATGGGGTGTTCCCCACTGAGGGACCCAGGGCCACAGGACTGTGCAGAGGCAGTGCTGGGCACAAGGGAAAGGCAGGAGCTGGTTTGGGAGCGGAGGAGAGCAGGAGCAGCCGCGGGCAGTAGAGGGGATGGTGAGGGCAGTGTAAACCAGACCCAGCTAACGCGGGGCTGGCGGGATTACAGGGTGCCAGGGAAGCTGCTCACAAACACATCGAGGACAAAGCAGCCCTCCAGAGCTGAGGGGTAATGAGTAATTAATGAAGACAGGGATGAAATTCATAATGACTCAAAAATGTCCGAGATAATGAAGTCCTTTTCTTTAAATCCACCTTTAACAAGAAAGCTAAGGGAAAGGATTTAGATCAATTAAGAAGTAAAGAAAGGCAATCTTGTAAAAATAGCTATTGACACAAGCAAGTGAGGGAACAGCTGGAAAGTCTTGCCATGGCAGTGTATAAAACAACCGTGTATGGCACAAAGACACCCATCAGTGACAGCAGGTACAGAAACAGCCGAGAGGGAGCTTCAGCATACATTTAACCACTGCAAATGCAGCAGGGGGCTGGTGAAGGGTCTGAGCTCGGGGAGCCCACGGTGAGGAGCAGCAGCGAGCAGGGGTCGCAGCGCACTCCTGTGGGATGCAGCAGCCCTGCGTGAGCATCGGCGACCACTCCTGGGCAAGGGGTAGGCAGTGGCCCTCAAAGGGATGGCCCCCATTGCATTCAAACTTACAAAACCCAGGGGAGACAAAAGAGGCTGGAAACATTGCAGCTGCCCCTAAAACATGTTCATTACCTCTCTCTTAGAGGAAATATTTTTGTCTCTCTGTCTACCATGCAGCAGAATACTTGGGATATTCTTTTCCTTGTCCTGGTAACCCAACTTGTTAACAACCATAACCTCACCTCTCTCCTCACTGCCTCACTGAAGAATTACCCTGTAAGCTCCATTGTGCCTGGACCTGTCTTCTGCCCCCTCCACAGGTGCCCTGGTGCAGGATCCTGCTTCCCCTGTGCCAAAATGCTCCCTCATGGCACAGGCTGGGTGGGCTCAGCGTCTCTGGGTGGGTTGGTGCTTGGGCCCAGAAGGGTTAAACGGATGCCCCTGTCACAGGGGCAGTGTCTTGACTGCCGGTCTATAAATAGGAGCTGGGTTTCTAATCTGCTCACCACTTGTTTCCACTCCCTGCCAGTTTTTTCCTGCTTTTTCCTGCAAAGAGGTACCTGCGACTGCTACAGTTTGCAGCCCTGCAAACCCTGCTGGGAGAGGATGAGGAGCCCTGCCTGATGAGACTGCCTGATGTGTTAGTCCTACTCCAACCCACCCTCGGTAACACACACACACACACACACACAAAAACAAAAAAAACCCCAAAACTCAAGGATGGAGAGAAACCAAGCCCTGCCCTAGGAGGGACTCCA